TTTTTTTTTTTTTTTTTTTTTTTTTTTTTTTTTTTTTTGTTTTCTGGCATTTTACTTGCAGCGTTGGTATACACGAGAAGTTTTTTAATCTCTGGTGCATTATTCATCTTAAAAATTGAGCCAAAATGATCAGCAACTGTATTGTATTTCATTGAAAAAAAAATTTTTTATTTGAAATTTAGCACGTTGAGTACGATTTATGTTGTGTGTGTGTATACGATATACATGAGCATAAGAAGTTACATTAAAAATAAAAAAGTCAAAACTACATCATATTTATTTTTATTCCATTTCAGCTTAAGCGTACGACACATTTGCATGCACGAATATCCTTATCTGTATTTTTACTATGTTGTCGGTTACTTGTATGTCATTGTAACTCAACAATAAAATATAACGGAATTTATGAATCATCTGTTTAATTTATAATGATTATCAGCATTTTTCCTGTACAAGATACGTCTTAATCACGCACTAAAAATAATTTTCATTTGCATCCTCCGATGAATGCTATTTTAGTCTCTGATTATAGCTTGAACGAATTGCATTATAAATACATTAATTTCATTCGAAATAGTATCTCCTATCATCATATACTGGAAATAATTAAGCAAGTTGGAAAAATGTATAAATAGTTCTTCCGAAACTTTTTTGCATATAATACAATATTTTACTATTTAGCATGTGCATTGTAATTTTTTCAAATTTTTAGTAAAAATTGCTATGTATCACAACGACATTGTTCTTCGATACACGTGTTTTCTCTTTTAGTATTACATCGATTGAACAAACTAGCTGGCAATATCCATGGTATAATGAATCTATTATTTTCAACTCCTCCAGTGTATTTACGTTTAAAATTAATAACATGGCACAAGCTCGTTATACAACAGTGATTTGAAACTCTACACTTTCAAATTCAATGAAATCATATAACCATATAGTGCGATGAAACTTTATACCGTTGATAAAAAAACATGCAGCGTAAATAGTCACATAATGGCACTGTTTGTTTATTTTACGATTCAACGGTGATCATTAAACTGTCGTAATCAAATACAAGTTAACGGATAAAAAATAAAATGATTCTTCCTAGTAAAGTTTCAGGCTAATTCTTAATGAAATCGCCTTGTTTTACAGCTGAACCCAACTTCTACGTACCTACCTCGAGGGAGTTCCTCCAGAGATTCTTGCGGCCATGCAAATGGTATCCAAAGAGTGCTTTTGAGTTGGTAAGCCAAACATCGATTTTTTTTCCTCACTATAGAAACGATTCTCTAACTAAAAATGTTCGAATTAAATGGTAAAAAAAATGTCTAATCCAATGTGAGGATGTTATGGATACTTATTATGTAATATACTTATGTGCATAATCAAGTGTCGATACTAGATTGCATAATTTTTATCCAAGTGAGCTAAAATTCAGTGATTAGCTTCCTTTTTACATCAGAAGCAAATGATTGAATTTTGCAACTGTAAAATATGACTATGAATAAAGAATAATCAAGATTTTAAAACAATGAGAAATCGCAGTTCTACTGTTAAGGATTCAATAAAAAAAAAAAAAAACTTTTAGACCATGCGATTCCAAAATAGCGCTGTTGTAACACTCTCGACGACAAATGTTGTTTTAAAATGTCGAAAAAATCGGTCCACTTTTTATTTGAGATTTCAAAACAAAAAGAGATCATTTCAATCAACGTCAATCGACTTCGTTACATTAGACGGTTTTTTTAAATCGCAATCCTGAATGGTGCATTACATAACACGCGTATCAGGTGTTTCGTACCGAGACGAGTGTCGACCACATTCTTGCAAACTCATTATTGCGTTGTGATACAATTAAATTTCTATTT